TTCTGCAGGATTACCAGGTGGTCTTTAACGTATGTTTTATGTTCTTTGCCATGAGTCAAGATTTATCCACATGACTCTTCCATATAAAACGCACCACAATTGACACGATCTAATCTGTGTGCACAATTCTGTTGACGTGAATGGAATCCTATTCTATATTCGAACTAAAGTATTTTGAAGTGTATCAGTTGTCCTGTAGTATGCTTCACTTTTGTGTATTCTTAAATTATTTGTAGTGTGTATCATCGTAGTAAAGTAATACTAAGTTACCAATTCAATTTATCTCATTAGAACTATTATCTAGTGATAAGTCGTTTCACTTTGGTGCTTTTTGAACCGTAAAATGTTGATTATGTGTTTCTGTTCTTTTCATCTCTTCATTACATGCTTCACAGATCACTGCCTTCAAACACATAATAGTTTTATTCACTTGATATTGTTTTTATTTGAATCTTCCCATTGATGTTTTAGGACTGAAATTGATCAGTCTCTTATTGGCATATGTGCATACTGTGCGTATGCCTCGATATTGCCTTAATTTACAAGCATTATAAGCAAAGATGGAGATGCAGGTACATCCAGCTCACGAGTCCCAAACAGGACGAAACGCGCATCCTGGATTCCACTGCTAGCCACTATCCATCTTTGCTTATCATAATAGTTTTGTTAGACGTTTCTAAGATTTCCACTATGGGATCGCTAAGTTGTCTATGAAAAGCGTTTGATTATTGATGAATATTGTTTCCTCGTTTTTGATTGTTTTCGACCAACACAAATTAAATAGTCGTCCAACCATATAACACAATTGTAAATCAATATGGATTTTTGAGGTCACTCAATTGGATGCTATATTTAATAGTAATATAGACAGTAACACCACTTTCCAAAGTGATGCTTTGATCAAAATAATTGATATACATTAACCAATTGCTGATTTCTAAATAATCTTTAAATTCTTATTATTGATTGAACCCTACAGTTAGTAAACAGATTTCTATTAAAACATGATAATACAAGTTTTGTAACTAGTATCCTTTTGAATGAAACTTCAATTTACAAACATAAAGTTCTATTTTGTCTGTGTTTATTGCAAACAGTTTTTTTCAATTTCATTTTCTCATCTTCAATAAACTTAAGTTGGCACCAGAACAATAATGATATTAATCAAAGAAAAAAGAACAAAGTTTTATCTTACAGTTAATTCAGAAGACAGAAATTCGTTAAGGGTTATTACAACTGAAAATTCAACAATTTCAAATAAAGAATAAAATTAATTCAATATAATGGTATTAATAATGACTTAAGGAATATGAATATATACATCAATAAAAGAACAGAACGAGATTGGATAATAAAGTGTTCAAAGATTTCAAGTAACGAAAGAAGGTCGCCTAGTAATCTAGCATTTAAACTAAAGTACAAAAATAGATTCGCATCAATTCAGCCAAGAATGAAAAAGTATTGAGATGTATGCTATTTATGTCATCAGACATAAAACTAATCAGAAGTGGAATGCCTGACAGCAGAAGGTTGAAAATATTTGTTTAATTTAAGAGAACAGGAATGTAAACAGAGAAATATTGTAATAACAATAGGAATGGAAGAATGATGAAGTTTGTAACAGATAATTGATGGAAGATGTGCAAATAAAGTATTTTTTATATGTTTTCCACATTTTACCAAGACATTCTATAATTTTGTACTCAACAATAGATTGGTTTCTCCCACCTGAGTGTTTCTTCATTACACTATTATTCACACATCCATGAACGGAAGGCCGCTTGAAGAATATAATACGAAGCTTGTTTGAGTAGGACATTTTTAGCATAGACATTAAAGCTACTTTTATGAATCTACATTAATAACTCCTTCACATCCAATATACTTGTAAGGGTCTTCTTTTGAACTGTTGGAGTAGTTCAGGCCTGAACTTTGCGCTCAAAAGTAACACGTGCAATATTTTCACCTTTGGATAACCCTAACACCAATTCAAGTATATTTGTTGATTATTATCAATATCCGTTATATACCGTGATTAGTTATTGTTACCTTCTAATATTTTTTCACTATTATTATTGAGTTGTTATTATAACCTTCACGTCTTCTGTTTATTCGTTATATCATTCAAATCGATATTTGTCTCTCATATTTCATCTACCCATTCTTCTTACAACTTTAGATCATTACGCAATCGTGTTTTTGTACTTAAAGTCTTGAAACACTTTATGATATTTTTCCCTGATTATTTATCATATATCTTTTAAAATATTAGAGTCCGCAGCTTTAACATGGTTTTACGTGATAATTTATCAATAAGACTTTTTAGTTTGTTTCATTCTTAAATTGTTTATTATATATAAGTATATAACAACCGTTTGGTTATTATTTTCTTTAATAATTCATAAATTACAGCCAGAAATTTCAGTATGGACAAATACAGTTTGAGATTGTAATGTTATTTCCTCTTCCCTTCACAAATTATGTATTGCTATATTTTATTTCTAAAAACTCAACCGAATAATTTATAAACAAAAAACACCTACTTTACTCTTGATTCAAAGGATAAAATTTACAGTTTCGGTAAAGGTGTTAGGTTAAAATGAATTGAATCTATTTCTTTTGTAGATTTTCAAAAGCATGTTTGAATCATGCACTATCCATCGTGTTTTGTATTAGCATAAAAACGTTCTTATGATATTCGTTTGAACTTACCTCATATGTAACAATACAACCTTATTTAATACATACATGCAAACCAAGCCGAAAAAGAACCATCACTCAAGTACCAAGGTTGAATGAGATTCATTTTCCCATCATTTTCTAAACCGATACTTGCGTACAAGAAGGTATCTTCATTAAAGTACAGTTGAATGACAAAATATGTTAATTTGTGCACTACACACAGGATGTACTACCTATTGCATATTGGTCGTAATTAACGACTGCTATTCAAAGTAATTTGTGTTTCATCAAATGATAAGAAAATAAAAAGACTTAAAACTATCACATAAAGTCAGAAACGTTGATGAATCAATTAGCTTTGACTGGTCAAGAGAATAAACTACTTAACCACTGAAATAACTCCATCTATGTTATACAATGAATAAAAAGGTGTTCATATGACTTGCATTTATGGTTTTCATATATGTACCACAAACATACAATTTGGCTTCTCGAATTACTCAAAGGTGCCTAGTTACTGAAACTTTTAGTACGAATAATAGTTAGCTATCACAACGTTATACAAATCGAACATCTGAAATAAAGTGCAATTGAAAATATTCATACTACTTTTTATGTTCTTATTTTCAGATGTAAGATTTGACACAAACATATTCAATCTCTTAAAACTATATAATGGCTCTGAACAGAAAATTTTCAATGTTTAATTTGATGTATTTTGTTAGTGAAACATATATTCCTGTATTCTGTCTGGAGTCACACTTTTATTGTATTTGATAGTTTATAATTCAACTTAGTTGGCAGAACTAACTATTGAATATAACTATGATTCAATCCTGAAATGTATACAGTAACAAGCTTTAATCATTAGAGATATTAGATTATTGAGTTTTTTAAAAAGAAGACTTACAGTTTTTCCAAATCTACAAGTATATTTTCATAATAATAGTAATAATTATAATAATTTGATTACTTAACTTTTACCTAACCCATCACTTTACAATAATTATATTTGTCATTTTGTGTTAATGATCTAGATTATAGTGCATTATAGTTGACTTTTTGTTTTTACAAAATACTTTCCTTCAATTCTAAATCAAATATGAAAACCAAAAAAATAAAATAAAATGAGTAAAGAAACAACTGATCAGTTTATGAAGAAAATAAAAAGTAACAACCATTACTGTGTCATTAGATTCAATAATTAAATGGAATCAGATTGTCTATGTATATCTCATTGTCATCATATAGATTAATTCAAAAGTAACAAAATGAAATAAAATAAAAGATACATTCAATTAACCATATACAAAAAGAATAAGTTTATATCAATTATTATAATAAACGGAAACATGTACACGCAGACTAATTGATGGTGGTGATTAACACTTAAAAAATAATTGATTAACTAATTAATTAAGTAATTAATCAATAATAATAATAACAATAGAGCAGCACCAACAACAACAAAAATAATAATTTTCTACAAATAAGGAGTTAAAATAAATAATGAAAAAAATAAAGTAGAAAGAGGGATGTTTATGGAAAATGTAACAGAAGAATCATATTTTTTATTCATAATCTATCATATTCCTCTTTATTCTATACAAATTTCTAAAGTACATACAGTTTTTGTTGTTGGTGTTGTTGGTGTTCGTACTTAAAAATTATAACAAAACTGTTTACAAAATAAGATTTTATTCTATTTTTTTTTATTATTTATAACTTAGTTAATGTTATTTTATCTTTGGTTATTATTCTATTACCTAACAATAAAAAAAAATCATAAATCATAATATTCGTTAATGAAAGACACGGTACTATACAATACAGAAAAAATGTGGAATTATTGACAGCATTAATTTTTAATTAAAAAGATAGAATTTAGTTAATTATTATAATGAACTCTAATTCTAACCTTTATTCATTATGAATGTATAGAATCATTAATTATTATAAACGAAAATACTACTAATAATAATAATAATAAATGCTGCTTGTTAATGTTCTTAAAAGATGAAAATATCAAGACAACAAAAAATAAGAACATTTTGAGATCATTCATGATCAACAGTGGTGGAGAAGATTTGTAACTTAGAGAATAAAAACTCTACCATTATCAACAATTGTCTGAAAATTCTATGATTAATTTTGCTTATTGATTATGAAAATAGATTCCGTAATCTAGTTATGTAACTCTTTGATTTTTGTAATTTTTGGCAATTCTAATTTCTTTATATCGTTAAGTTTAACATTTTGATTGATATGATCTTTATTAGTATTATTTTTATCGAATAAATCAATTGGATTTTTTTCATTTATTGATTGTTTAAATTCATTATGCTTTTTTCTAATTCATTTAGATAATTTAATCGACGTTTTTCAAATTCTTCTGATAAATCCGGTAGACCAGAACCAAATACCCATGGATGAGCTAAAGTTTCACGAGCTGTTAATCTTGATTTTGGTGTAATAACTAAAAGTGAAGTGATCAAATCTTTGGCATCTTTACAGAAATATAATTGAATATCAATAGTATGTAGATTGTGAATGACGGAAAGAGAGAGAGAGATAAAGAAACAAAAACAAAACGTTATTACCAAAGTAAATAATGAATTATTTAAATGTAAAATGAGCAAGTTAGTTATATCATCTAGTAATGTAATGATTCTATCTAATATTTATTAAATGTCTCCATTTGTCTTAATTAAAAATAAGTTTATCATTAGATATTCACGCTTAATGACTTTATAAATTATTAATGAATATTTGATATTCATCTTAAACATTAGATACATATGATGCATATACAAAGTCAATTTAAAAAACCAAATTTCTAGAAAAAACTAAGGAATGTTCTCTAGAAATAAGTTAAAGTCAATGCATTGCAGTGATATAATAGTTTTCTTTTAAATAAATGTTTATTCCTATACTATAATGTACACAAACAAACCGATTATTAGTATGATCTTTAGTTCAAGTAAGAATTATGGTAGATCAGATTATTTAAAAGAAATACCCACACTAATTATAGTTTTTAACTGAATTCAGTAATCTACTTTTTAACGGCTCAAAACTATACGAATATTTTGAGCTGAAAATTCTAAAAATTTACTAAACTTTACTCATAGAAATTTGTTTAATACTATTGTATATGTTACCATGCAAAAATCTTTTGAGGGAATTTCTGCTAGAAATATGAATGAATTCGAACAGAAACAGTAAATACGTTTACGTGAAATATTGATATTCCTTTACTATTTATAATATCCAATGAGAGTTCATTATGTCCTGGAAAAACTAATGTCAAAATCAAATAAAAAAATTAATCCCTTAATCAATTAAAATTATATCGTATTTTAAGTGTACAATTATGTCGAATAGTTCAAACAATATGGAACTTTATGTTTGGTACAAAATTGCTCTTAATAAATCAAGTTAGTTAAACTTCAAGAAAAATGTACATTTATAACTAACTGTAATACATATCATTTTCTCATTTTCTTTTTTAGTTTAACCTATGAAATCTATTATCAGTTTGTATAAATTTATACAGTTTATCACAGTGATCATTCATATTATGATAACTGCTTTCATCACAAATATTTAGGACTTCACTTGGTAGTGTTTGGCTTTTATCTTCACATTGAGGTTTAAGACTGCAATTGATCAGTCTGTTATTGGCATATGTGCATACTGAGAAGATAACGCGATGGCGTTTGAAGCGGATGGTGCTGGGTTCGAGTTCCAGAGTGAACATCAACTCTGAAATGCAGGTACATCCAGCTGACGAGTTTCAAATAGAACGAAATGCGCGTCCTGGATTCCACTGCTAGCCACTATTCATCATTGCTTACAAAATATCTAGCACTTGTTCAGTGTTCATTAGTTTTAACTAGTTAAATTCGTAATAAAAACTAACTTCCAAACACAACTGAAAAAAAATAATCTCATTCAACTATATTTGTTTATTGGGTATTTTGTTTTAAGATTTAGTGAAAGATGGCTACTTATCATTGTTTATCATTTAACCTACTGCATATTTTATCTTTATCTTACAATTTTAAAGAAAATGAATATCAATTTTTCATTTTGTTTTTTCTTTACCATATCAAATAATGTTCACCTTAAGTATTAAAAATATTACTAATTTGGATCGTTCAGGAATATCTATTTTCTTTGATGTATTAGTTATATATTATTTTCTTTGAAAATTAATTTATTCCATATAATTATTTAACGAGACCATATTTCTTCAACTAGATGTAATAATAACTTCTTGAAAGTGATTATCTAATTAAAGCTAGAACAAAGTAATTCAAGATTTTCAGTGGTGTCTACCTTTTAAGCCCACTTGATTTGTGACTTTCCCTTACGGTATTTTTGTTCATTATTGCGTACACACGGTTTCATCCATTAAATGAGAACATAAACTACAAAATATAAATTATTTCAAAAAATGTGTGCAATCTTTTTTATGGCAGTGATTCAGATCATGATCGATCGTAGCTATGGAATTCTAATTTATGTTAAGTAGTTTTCATAAATCACCCAAATGCCTAAAATCTCCAAATTTTAATAAAAATCAGACGTTACGCAACGAGAACGATGATTATTTGAAAAAAAGGGACTTACATGTTGATATATTATCCCAATAAGGACTCAGGAATACAAAATGACCTCGTTTTATACTTTCGAATAACTTTGACTGTCTTCGATCAGTACTACGAAATGGAGCAAACCCACATAACATAATATAGGTTATAATCCCCAACGCCCACATATCGACTTCAAGACCATAACCTGACGTTTGTGAGGAATGAACAAAAATAGACAAGAATGAAATGATAATACTGATTGTGTGCTTAAATGTCCGTTATAGTTAGAGCTTTCTCTCGATTCTCCGGTGATTAATACACTAAAGCACAGTTTGTAGTAAAATAAAGATCAAATCAGATTATTATTTACATTGTTTTTGAACTACGATCAGAGATACCATCAACACTAACTAAATCTATGTAGTACATTCACTAAACAAAGGTTTATTTTTAAAGGGTATTCTGAATAGCGTTAGTAGGCAAGAAAGTCGGAGAAGCATAATCACTTATGATGTCCTATGTACGTTTACTTCAACATATAAAATCTAGGTATGAATGATTTGATTAGGAGTATTGGTGATCATAAATAAACAAATGAATTGACTTCGAAGCTTTCATTATTATTCATAGTAAAATCCTCAGGCCCAACTCAAAATGGAATTGAACATTTTAATATTGGTATACTAATGTCAAAAGTAGACGTTTTTGGTGACGGGTCATACAGAAAAGTTCTGTGATGCTCATTTGCATTTGCATTTCTACTAAATCTTTTGTTTGGTTCACTTTTGAATATCTGGTTCTTTGATCTTCGTTATGTGGATTAATCGATCTAATTTAAATTAAAATATCTTTTAGTTTTTTGGTTATTTTAAATCCATTTAATCCATGTAGCCCGTACAAATGGATGTTTGGCAAGTGATATGTAGAGGTTTAACTGAAGCTTCTGTAGAAGTTGTTTGTCGTGACTACATAGCCTGATAAACAGTCATCCAAGTCAAGATGGAAATTAGGTACGCTCAATAATTAAATAGAAAGATTATAATTCTGAAGCCAAAAATATTAAAATCACTGTCAAATAGATAAGAATAGGGCTTAATTTATAGATCGAAGGTCGTCTGAAAGAGAAAATGAATAAACCCATTTCCAGATGTTACAGAGGGATTAAAATAGTTGATACAATACTTATATCTAGCTTCTGATATTAGTTCAACATCATTGTACTACTTCGATTTTTTACTTAATTAGATATTGTTAATTCGAACTAAGTATCAGAGATACGAACTTTTTGCGGAAAACTTGTAAGAAAATCTCAGAAGTGTTTTCTTTATTTCTCAGTACATTGATGTTTGAATTTATACAGACTAAGTAGAAACACCATTAAAATTAATAAAATCTAGAAATCTAACCACTTTTCTGTGTAAGACATGGTATTCGAAGGGCTAAACCTAAACAAATTCATTTTTACTTTGGCTTAAAATTCCTGTAAATGATGTCGTCATTTACAACAGAAATAGTTTGTACTACCATGTGTACCAACTGACTGGATGGAATTTAAACGTTTATACACCCAATGTATATTCATTTCTGTTCACTGGTAAGATTAAAATGATTTTACGCATTCAACTGATGAAAATTAAAGAACTAAGTATTAATTTCAATTTATTCCATAAAATCCAACCTGCTAAATTTAGTTCAATAACACGAAGATTTCATATTCCATCACATTCGAACTGGATCTTTTAACAAAATTAGTTTTTAATGTCAATGTTGTATAAGATTTTATTATTCAGATTCATTTATTATATATCTGTTTGGCATATTTATTCAACATCTCAAGTTTTAGGATACATTGTTCAACAAAACAAATAAAATACAGAAACATGTATGTGTTTGGTTGTTGCCATGAGCACTTTATGTTTACTGTCGTCTATTTTTATACAACAAGAACAAATATTTCGATGCAAATCTATCTGGTTTTAAAACTTAAAGATTATTGTTAACTTCTTAGTTGGTTCGTGGTATTTAAAGAATAGTTAAATTTAAGCTAGTTGTTTACACCTGAAAATAATATCATCTAAAAAATTATTCGAAATGAGATAGGACTGAACATTTATGACCACTTGTGACACCATACAAGGTTGAATCTAGGACTTACAATTCTCAGCATAAACAAGATGCTTTCAAATCATCAAGCTAGAAATTCTATTGTCCATATTTGTAAGTTTAACAATTAATGATTGGTCAGTATAACTAATATTATCATCCAGTATTATATCACGAATGAATTTCAATAAGCGATTAGTGTAAAACAGTTCTTTTTTAGTTATTTGTGATTTTTTGAATGATTTTCATTTTTTATATATGACAAACCTATTTTCACATTAATAATAATTTTCAACAGAAAATTGATTATCTAGTGATGATGACACTTAGTGCATAAAAGTTGTACTTATTAGTTTAAGAGTGTTAATTACATTAAAAAATATATAAGCTAATAAATTTACTTGATGTTGATTACTTGTACATTCTCATTGTTGTTTAGGACTGCAATTGATCAGTTTCTTGTTAGCATATGTACATCCTGTGCGGACTGCCTCGATATAGCCTTAAGTCACAAGCTTTATAAGCAAAGATGGATAGTGGCTAGTAGTGGAATCTATGACGCGTTTCGTTATATTTGGGACTCGTCAACTGGATGTGCCTGCGTCTCAGAGTTGATGTTCACCCTGGGACTCAAACCCAGTACCGTTCGCTTAAAGCGCCATCGTGTAATCCACTTGGCCAGTATTTTACACTATTTCAAATAACTTAATTTGATGTTTAACTATAGTTTCTGTTAAAAACTTACAAGTGTTTAACGGTAAGCTAGTAGATCTAGTATTATAGACTATTTAAAATCTGAAATCATATTAGATAATCACTAAAGTATCATCAAATTAATTATTTTTAACAATTTATGGTTAATTTTCATTTTATGTATTACTATACAGTTGGTCTTTTTCACTAGTTTCTCCTGAAACGTATTTGGAATTGTAATGCATTTGACCACATTTTTTCTTTCATCTGTTTTTAAACTTGTAGATTTTTTTTCTTGCTAATATAAAATATTCCAAATTCGGTCAGTACACACTTTCTACAGATTTTACCATTGGGATACACACCCACATTTTGTCTGTCTTCTTCCCTTTCTTTTCTATATATATATATATATATATATATATATATATATATATATATATATATATATATATATATATATATATATATATATATATATATGCAGAAGTAACTAGTTTTCTGTGTTACGCAAAAGTATTTCATAATCTTCAGCTATGTTTACTTTTATTCATTTTATGTAAAAAAAAATAATTTCAGCAGAAATAATACCTGATTCTTCTAATATTTCTGGAGCAATATACGTTGGAGTTCCGCATACAGTGTACATACTTTTTTTCACCACTAAAGCCAGTCCAAAATCCGCAAGTTTCACTCGTATTTGACCGTTTTTCTGTCGTAATAACTTTAAGGAAAAAGGAAAAATAAAATAACAGGAGCGAATGAAATTACTCGAATATTTTGTTGAACTTAATAATAATTCTACTTCCAATTTCCTGACAAAACGTATAAACATATTTAACGATTCGTTATATATATATATATATATATATATATATATATATATATATATATATATATATTTATATATATATATATATATGTATAAGTGCACACTGCTACGGAGTTCCATACCAGGATGAAACAGCCGTTCAGTGATCCTAGGTCCACAATAATGGTCTAGCTAAGATCACTTAATGAGTTAAACTGAGAGAATCCTGCAAATAGATAAATAAATAGACCTTTTTATGCTCTTTAAGTCTTAAATATATGAAATATTTGGGATGAAAAACACGTTATAGAAAAGTTGCTGCCTGCGATTTTTAGATGGAGGTAGTAAGTCAATGTAGTGATAAGTATCTTTGACTATTTTACATATTCGATTATTAATAAATAAGGATCCTGAATTTATAAAAGTAAGATTTTTATCCCGAATAATCTTATGAATTGTTTTCAGTAAAACTAAAACACTTAAAATAGAAACAAACGATTTCACCGTCTATTTTCTTTGTATTTATTCTTTCTTTGTAAAAGACTTTGATTTTGTCAATAATTCAGTATCATTTAAGGAATAATCCAAGAATGTATACTTTTAACTTAATGAAATATTACACAGTGATTTTGTGGTTTTTTCAAATAGTGTTAATTTGTTATACAAAGTATTAATGGTTGAGTATAAAATTCCTGTCCATCCACTTGCTTATGCACTTTCTAAATCATAAGAACTGAACAACTTATGCAATTAGTTTTCAAAAACAAACGGTTCAATAAACGTTTGAAGGCAATCAAAATGAATTAAAGCTTACCAATATGTTTTCAGGTTTTAAATCTCGATGTACAATAGATCGACAATGTAAATAAAATAAAGCACTGGCTAAATCAGATACTATTCCAGCAGCTATTGGTTCAGTGAACTTTGTTGCTTGAGTAATTCCGTCAAACAGATCACCATCCTACAAGAAATGTTTTCAAAATCAAATGAAATAATCCCATCTAAGTAATGCGTCTATAAATAAGGACATAATTATCAGATTAAACTAAACATTTGTAGTAATATAATTAGTTTAAATAAACAAATAGAACAAGAGGAACGGTTTAGGATCTTCTGTTTTGCACCCTAAAGTTACGAATCTCGTCTGAGTTGCACTGTCTACATAAAAATATTTTGTTGATAGAATTTATTTCGACTATATTAAGAGAATGTGACTTTAAAAGTTCGATGTCTGTTCTGTAACTCACTTGAATCAATGATGGAAAAGTTGAGTATCCGAGTTAAATAATTTATTCCATTATCAATAGTTACCTTAACTTTTTATACTTTTATGGTTAACACTTGAACACGTAGATAGCATATAGAAATTCTCAAAGAAAAGGCTGTTGACATAATGATGGTTTATATAAAAACACTTACAAAGAGGTGGTCGAATTTTTATTTTAATAACTTAGAGGCATTTAGAAACTTTATAAAACCAAATGAAGCCATCTCAATATTATAATACATCCCTAACAATCTACCCGTGGATCCTTTACATATTTGAAGTCATCAGAATCAACTGTAAAAGTCTGATTCAAGTATTCAAAGTGTGTTTACAACGGTCAACAAATGCATTACCACACTTATAATCTGCATGTTACAAACTCTGGATCTATAATCCCCTTGTCTTATTTCTTCCCTGCCGAATTCTTAACTAATGAGTTTGAAAAGATAACTTTGAAATATTCCAAAATATAAAAAACAGTAATTTTATTAATCCATTACATTTTGTCCATTCGAACAATTCGATTATAAGCAATTAACCAATTATAATTATGAATTAACTAAACTATCAGCTTAAAGGCAGCTGAAACAAATGCAACAAAATAGGATGAGTTCATAGGATGCTGTGAACATATTTAATATCAATATAAAATAATGAGAATTTATTTATCAATATTGAATTTTGTAATTGTTTTGTTGAAAATGTTTGGTCCTATGTAATGTATCATAATTTTCCACTTACCATATATTACCTTTTCCTTATTTAAACAAACTCACATGAAGAAATAACATTCCTCTCATATACTGCTTATTTTAATTAATGTCTGGTTGTTTTATTTGGTCTCTTGAGAACCTGCAACCTATATCATACCATAAATAATCTAGCGTAACCGAAGATCATTTAAAAGCTTATAAATATGATATTAAACTTCTTACAGATAGATTACATGACGCCAATACACAGCTAGAGTTTCTATGTTTACAAATTAATCTAGATTAGATGTACACTCACAAGAGTACAATGAAGGTCACAGACTAAAAGATAGAGACGAAAGAAGGTGACGCAGATTTCGACGTGATACTATTTAAATGACATGAATACAATAATAATTCTATTTCATAAAATATTTAAATGAAATTGACATCTTATAGCCCTGTTTATCTTGAATGATATAGACGTCTACCAGAAAACACATCAGAATTTTAAGGAGAAAAGCAAGAAGCAAAGTCAATCTCTATGTTTACAGCACGAAAAGTATGTGAGTTCAAGAATTCTTATCAAGATTTTTATTAAGGTTTTCAATGGTGATCTGACATTAATCCGTTCATGATCTCAGTAAAAACTCAACAATCTCCACAACCCTATACTGAAAATTTAAGAATTGTCAACTGAGTAGGTAGAAAACATTTAGAAGCAGATAAAACTATCATTTACTAAATAAAACGGTTTAAATGATTTAAACGGTGGGTCAATTTTCTAGTAAATCTCAAGGCTAAAAAAACCATATAAAAATAGTATATTTTCTACCAAATCTGCTGTACATGATTGCTGCTATGAATTTACGATAGTCATTTTAAAAATGAATATCATGTTGACATATTCTAAGATGAAAAAGGAAGGGATTAATTTACAAACCTAAAGCATCCAATGGGATTGTGCATGAGTTTATTGTAGTCAAAAGTTCCAACTGAAATTAAATTCATTTGGACATGAGTGAATACAACATCATTCTTATTTTATCCTCATCTCTTAAAATTAACCTGCATTAATTACTCTATCAAAAACCAGTATTCTTATTACTATAATTCATTTGTTTACTCTTTATGTACTACTCACTATTAAAGGTAATGCCTATGGTTATTTGGTTAACGCATTCAATGGTTAGCCATCTTCCCACAGACTCATACTCTTCACCATCTTTTGTAAGACAAAGTTATTATCTCTAGATTTATGTTTTCCGTATAACTACGGACTTTTCTTTCCTCACTTGATTCGGTTTATGGAATAAAAGACATTAAAATATTTTGAAATTCATTTCATAACTAAATTCTGTATATTGAACTTATCTTTGTCAGTAGATAAAAATGAGCTGATTCTAAAGTCATATTCAAAAGTTTCATTAGTTTTATTTCAAGAAATCTGTATAATTAAACACTATTATAAACTTCAGAACTGTTGTGCTACATGGATATACAGGTTAGAAAATAATCCAAAAAGAATTAGAATGTTTAAATTCTAATGGAACTTTGGTGCTGAATATAGTGAGATAAGTTTTCCTAATTGAACTACAAAAGATAAGTAACATCACTTCAGTTAAGCATACATTGGAAACTAAGACAAATGTTCCATACTAATATGAGACTTCTTGAATGTGTGCACCTATAATAAAAAAATGGGAAGATTACAGAGATTCAAGATCGAAGTCGAACACATCACATATAGACTACTGGTTGTCGAGCTAAAGTTGATTCGTGATGTAAATCATTTTTGAAGCAAATAATTTTCACACATTTTCCATCAGATAGAGCGTTTTATTGACCATCGTGTACGGACCATGACTCTAATGAACAGTTTTTCAAACTACTCAAGTATACTGTTATACTTGTTTCGTCATTTCTGAATTCATTTATGCTGTCAAATGAGTCCATTTCAAGGATAACCGAATTGAAGGAATGAAAGATATGTTTGGATGATAATGGTGTGAAGTAATTAGATACACCACAAACAAATTTTCCAAGCCATCTTAGTTTCGCTACGTAAATATGTGCATACGTTTTCATCGAATGCTTAATAGATGGAAAACTCATGACGCTCTATCGTAGAATTAATGGCTAAAACTTACAGATTTTTAGATCCATGTTCGGCTGAATTTTGATATATTGTAGATAATACATAAAAATAAGCCAGTATAAACATAATGATGTAATCAAAGGACAAAACTCATGGAATTTGATTAATTAAGAGTAATTTGATATCTTTTACCAAATCATATGACTTTTCTATTCACAACAAAATTATTTACAATGTTCACTTAAAGCTTTTTTCATTGGTTCCTTTGTCAGCGTTTCCTTATTTTGAATAGTTCTATCATATTTTGTGTTATTTCAAAGTACTTTCTGCTGTGTATTAGAACGATTGTTTTTACTGATGTTTAGTTAATATACTGTAATATGGTTGAACAAATGTATATTAATGTATCTTAATGTGTATTATAAACGAATGAATTACTATTGAATAAATTATAAGCCAACAAAATTTATTTATTGTTTAAATATGTCATATGATGTTTAGAACTAATCCTTGAAGCTTTATCCTGATTGACAACTATAGCCTTTGAACGTGGTAAATATAAACGTCTTCGTATATTTATTTCAAGATATGTGTAACTTCTTGCGATATACATATAAAACAACACTTAATGATCATAAAAAAGGTAAATTAAACTAACAAGAACTATAGGCTGTGAAAATTTGTCATATACTATCTAAAATGAAATAAAACTACTCAAATAGATATTATTTCACATATATTTACAACATTATGTTTATATTTTCAGATATAAAAACATTGTTATTATTATGTTTAAAATTCTCAGGAAGTATACATTGAAAGAAGAAACGAAAAGAATTAAAGTTATTAGTTGTTTTAAATTATTCATTCAACTTTCATAAGTTATACAAAGAAAATACAAAAACCAATTAATTACTAGGTTTGAGTCCCGGAGTGAACATCAACTCTAGGATGCAGGTGCATCCAGCTGACGAATCCCAAATATGGCGAAACGCGTATCCTGAATTCCCCTGCTAACCACTATCCATCATTGTATAAAAACTAATTTTTATTTGTGTTCGTCTTATTTAATTCATTAAGAAAATTTTATTAAAGTATTTTTATGTTAGCAACTTAAATTATTACTATGAACAAATACTTTAAACAAAGAGGGGTTTTGTTTACATTGTAGTAATTTAATAATTGAATGCATTAGTCAATTGAAGCTAGACCACTAAGGAAAACCTAGAATCACTGGATGTCCGTTCCATCCTAGTATGGGACTCCTCAGTAGTGCACATCCACGATCCCAACCCCCGCGACATTCGAACCTAGGACCTACCAGTTTCAAGCGCGAACGCTTAACCTTTACGCCACTGAGCTGGCATCCATACTAGGATGAAACGGCCATCCAGTGCTTTAAGGTTTTCCATGGTGGTCTGGCTTCAATCGACTCATTAATTCAATTATTAAATATTTTAAACATCAATTTTCTATCTATCAGTCTATTCGCTTATCTATCATATATGATTAACTTCATCAGAGTTTGAGAATTAAACAACTCTAGTCATCAGTACTAAATTCACTCTGATAAGGAATCAAGATAATGGAATAATTACTGGATCAATAAAAATCATTCTATAATACATATGTTTAAAATAACAACCATATCATACTACACTATTTCAATGGTTATATATTTCTTATCATCACTTACATAAATAAATAAAAAGTGACTAACTTTTAAAGTTATGGTTTTTTGTATTAACTAACTGAGATAGTTTTATGAGAATTAATAAATAAACTTAACAATGAAATATGTGAAGAATGCACTTAACATTTCTCACATTAATATTTTTTACTTCGTTCATATCATTCTCTACAATATAGGTTCACCTAACAAAACACTTATTATAGTGATTAGTTACACTATCATTTCTTTTATCTTATGTTATCTATGGACAACAGGGTGGAAAACATCACAAAAGTTTAATACGGCTTTTCTTCGGGTTACTGACAACTTCAACAAATTCAAGGTAGCCCTCAGCAATAGGTTACAGGCCTTTCATGATCTACTCAATGGAAAGGGAACTACTATGGAGAGCAAATGGAAAGAAATCAAGGAGGCAATCAATTCAACACGTCATGAGGTTCTGGGCCACAAGAAGCACCATCACAAGGAATGGATCACTGTTGACACACTGGAAATGATTCAAGAAAGGAGGAACAAGAGGGCAGCAATCAATACTAGTCAAACACGATCAGAGAAAGCCAAGGCTCAAGCTGAATACACAGAAGTAAACAAGCAAGTGAAGAGGAGAATCAGAACCGACAAATGTAAATATGTGGGAGATCTAACAATGACGGCGAAAAAGGCTGCAAGAGAATGATACATGAGATAATTATATGATACAACAAAGAAACGTGCTGGAAATTACCGTAAACCAGAACGGCCAGTGAAAAGCAAGGGAGGAGAAGTAATCACCAACCTTGAAGAACAACGGAACAGGTGGGTAGAACACTTCAAAGAATTCTCGAATCGACCAGTCCCACTGAGCCCACCCAACATCGAAGTAGCACCTACGGACCTCCCAATCGATGTTGGCCCACCGACAACTGAAGAGATCAGCATGGCCATCAGACAAATCAAGAGCGGTAAAGCAGCAGGACCAGTCAACATTCCAGGAGAGGCACTGAAAGCAGACGTAGCAGTAACTGCAAAGATGCTCCACATTTTCTTCAGCAAGATTTGGGATGAGGGACAAGTACCAACAGACTGGAAAGAAAGACTTCTGATCAAAATACCAAAGAAAGGCGATCTCAGCAAGTGTGATAACTACAGGGGCATCACTCTTACCAGGAAAAGTCTTCAACAGGGTATTGTTAAACAGGATGAAGGACTGCGTAGACGCCCAACTTCGTGACCAACAGGCAGGATTCCGTAAGGATAGATCGTGTACAGACCAAATCGCAACTCAACGGATCATTGTGGAACAATCAATTGAGTGAAATTCAACACTCTACATCAACTTAATTGGCTACGAGAAAGCATTTGATAGCGTGGACAGGACAACACTATGGAAGCTTCTTTGACACTAAGGCGTGCCTCTGAAGATTGTCAATATCATACGGGATTCCTATGGTAGATTAAACTGCAAAATCTTGCACGGAGGACAGTTGACAAACTCGTTCGAAGTAAAGACCGGTGTCAGGCAAGGTTGCTTACATGTATGTATGTATGTATGTATGAATAAAAGGTAATCAAACTCACCTTAATAAATTCCATAACAAGCCATATTTCACTTGCAGTTTCAAATTCCTCATATAAACGTACAATATTTGGATGACGACAATGATGTAGTATATGAATTTCGTTTAATAACATGGCTTCTTTACCCGTAAGTTTACTTTTCTCAATTATTTTTAAAGCATACTGATCATTTGTATCCCGCCTTTTTCCTAGTTTAACAATAGCAAAATTACCATCACCTAGTTTACGACCAACTTGATAACGTTTCGATAAATAATCAGGATCTTTTTGTAATAAAGAAAAATACAAAGTAATAAAAATTATTGATTTAACAGTATTATGAAACATTGAGAATTAATGTTTAAATCTCCCCATGTAAGTAGAATTCCTAAATGAAAGTATTGAATCCCTACGTTTACATACTTTCATAATCATCACTTACCGGATCTCATTGATATTATTTTATTTTTATGTAGAAAGCTTTTGTGGATTATTACCAAGTATGTTATAGTATTTTGAACCCTTGTTTTAAGTAAAAGGCTAGCCTAACATAGCTGTGTGTGCTTGGTTCATCAAACTATTCATTTCATATACAATATTTTAAAATACTTGGTTCTATGGTGAAGCTAAATGGCATCTTCAATGGTTTTCAATATACCAGGGAGTTAATAAATCTTTGTAAAACCTTGTATTTAATTGAGAACCCAACCACAGCTGACGCTCAAGCACCTGATTGACGATTTCAAATCATTCGACGATTTTAAATATTAGTAGCAGAAATTTCTGGTTCGGAAGTGCTTTATATCTCGTTGCTTTAAGCATATGTACTTTGTGAAACATAGGATATGATGCCCATAACATGCATTCCTTCACTTTCGTTCGATTTCCGAAAAAATATGACAATTAGTTTAAAAGTCATTGTTAACAAATACAAGTTAAAATCATCCTTGTTATGAGATTTAATTATTCACCAGAAATAGTTTAAATTCCTGGGATACGCTAATTGTAAGCACTAAACTCCATAAGGTTTAGGATTTGTATATTTAATATTTGAGGTTTACCATCATTTTACGTAACTAAGAACAGTAAGATAAAGATCAGCAGCTGAATAAAAGAAGGTAAAATCCTTTTTAAAATGAAAAACATTGTAAGATGCTTTCGAAAGAAACAAAGGCTGAGAAGTACTTAAAAACTTTAGACTAGGTAGGTACAGCATCTGATTATTGTGATAGGATACGTAGTGAAAGTATTTAAGGAAATTTTATTGCTTCATTTATCGTAATTTTATCGTATTTTCGGGCTTCGAAAAATTTGAACTCTTACAATCAATCACTAAGTCTATACCTTCTCGCACACTAACATTCAACGGTGAAAAGCTTTACGAACTAGTTTAATTCCTGGGATAATACACATTTTACAAACTTCACAAATACATCCCTGTAGAAACAGCGTAGTTTACTACCGATTTTGACCATTCTATCCATCTTTATATACTTTTAACAAGCACAAACGTATGTGATATATGCTTCATAACAATCATTCATAAATTTTTAGTGAAACAGATGATCTATGTAGTTTCTTCAGCTGGAAACTTTATTTACCTTTTCAGACGTCTCGTAGATGTTTGTCAGTTATACTCAACTTTTAGCCCGTTACAAATGCGTGTTAAAGCAAGTTGGCATATCACATCAACAAGGTAAGATGAATTCAACAAGACCAAGAAACCAAAATGGTGGTAGTAACATTAGTGAAAAAAAACAACTAAATATTGGTGAATACGGTTCAAAAGAAAGGGATAAATTTAAGAAATGCAATGTATGATATAAAAGTTAGGCTCGATGTTCTGAGAAAGATGAAGAAGGAAGGCTCCTAAGCCGCTGCCACTGATTCCGAGACATATCATGCAACGCCACCAGTCACAAAGATTACAGTTTCCACACAGATTCATATCAAATAGTTTCTCTATTACAACGCGAATCATTCCATCAGTTAGTGATTTTACTGACTGATGTCATGTCATGATTTGGCCGCCCTTAGCTTTCCTTCAGCCTATTCCTACTCCCGCAAACACTAAATTCTGAGGTATTTCAAGGCTGGACATATGTAATAAATACCCTAACCACCTCATTCGGTGATTTCCAACCTACTGGGTTTGTTTCATTTACGAAGGTTCATAAATTGTTTACCAAGTACAAAGAAAACACTGTGAAATATTCATTTACAGTTTTCAGGACAATTCTGTGCGACGGAATAATTTACCCTCACATTTCAACTGACCAAAATATCTTAAGGTAATCAGTTAGTATATAAATAAATATTTATGTAATAACTTCAACACTTGAATTTAGTAAACAGATAAACTCCATTTATTGACAATATGAAACAATTTTATCGACTCCTATGCTTCAGAATGTTAACGAAATCTTTACCACATTATGTTACATATATTCATCCTTCACCGCCCTCTGTTGTATAAGTATGTCAATATCTATAATAACGTTAAATTTCAAATATTTTAGGTTGTAAGCAGCTGATGAGAACCTAACGAAATAAAATGAATTCATATTATTCTGCACCAACCTTTGTTCTTACTCTCTTTAAAATAAACTTAATATTTTCTTTCTTATGAAATAAAATCCTTTTTAATTAGTAAAATATAAATTTTAAATGTGCAAACTAGTTTTAGTCTGTTGATATTTGTATAAAATTGGGCATAAAAAGAAACAATCATATCATACATTCCATAGTAAATATAAACATAAACTGTAATTTATTCGATGTAATAAGGATGTTTATAACAGGTTTTTCCGTATTTATTTATTTATATTTAATGCAAATCATAGTTAAATAAAATACTTGGAATCATGTATCACTGAAGTTCATTAACACAACGAATACTTAATATTATTATCATACAATAAACTATTTTGTGATAACACAATAACAAAAACACTAGAAATAATAACATAATACGTAAATTAACAATTTATGTAAAATAACTATTTTTTTGTTTTGAACATTTACTAATATAAACAAAAGATGATTAGAGTTATACTTTAGATTGTTATTTGTCAAACAATATTACAAACTGAGTGAAGTTAAACATGTAAACCATCGGATGACAGATCAATAGGGCGAGACTCTAATTTATGGACGAGTCAATCAGAAGAGTTTTAGGGATTTCAAGGTTACGGCGCCAACTTCAGTGCTTAATGCTAACGTACGATCGGTTTACAGGGAATTTTGTACAAAACGTGGTAACTGAACGACTATAACATATAAAACGGCGAGACTATAATTTATGAACAAATCAATCGGATATAAGATAACAGATCTCGGATTTTAACGCGAAAGCCTTTCATACATTTGGCCAATTAGATTTCTGGCATTATAGCTGATGTCAGTTCGTGATGGAAACTCCATATATAATTCTTAACTAAGGTAAATTATGATAATTATCACGAACTGAATGAAAAAGCACCAGTAACACTGACTGCAGCCAGGTACTACAATGCATACGGATGTTTGAAGAGCGTACAAACTCATACATAGGCCAGTTTATGTGCATCGTGTCACTGTCCACAAGTGGCATTTTGTGTACTCAAAAACCGGTGTGACCATAAACAATATTGAGGCTATATGGTCGAGACTGAAAGAGTTTTTGAGACTTTATCATGGCTCCAGAGGCCGACTTTTCTGTAGCCGTATGGATGATTTCCTCTACTACATGAATTACGATTTTAGAACCTCTGAACCTCTTTCTAACCTTGACAAGTTTTTGAACCACGTATAAGAAGTGTATCCTCTTTATCTCCTTGGTTTTTTATAATATATTTTTACTCCATACTGACTGTTTGCTGATTGGCCAATATTTCTCAAGATCACTTAGGACTGGTTCAAAGGTCGTCCATAAATTAGAGTCTCTCCGAATTGGTGTAGAATTCTATACTAGGACAAGACAACTGTCTAATATTTCCTAGTTTCTAGTGATTATTCAAATAATATCAATAAGTAATATGAATTATGGTATTTTAAAACTAGTTACAGATACTATGACTAACTACTTAAAACTATCGAATTTTAATCATTTAAAAGTTGTACATCAAATGATTGTTAAGTAATTTTTGATCACATAAATTTGTCCTATTACTGTTAAATACTTATGAATTAAATGTAAGTTATTTAATATAACACGTTTATGATAGAATCAGAATGATTCAACTTATATTCTCTTGAAATAAACTCAAATAATCATTATGTTTAAATGATCTGTGAACAAATGAATGATATATAGGTATATGAGTATATGATAAATACTGGAAATTTCAGACTAAATATTATTATCATACCTGAGACATATGTTACTCCAACTGCCGTATAAACTGATTTCAATTTATCATTATTTGGTTTTTTAAATCCACTAACTGTAAAACAATTTGCAATTAATTTTTGTTGTGTACTATCACAAACATCTAATAGTTTGACAGAAGTGATATGATTAATATTAGTAGCAGCAGTTGTGGTAATGTTATTATTAACTACATCTGGTGCATTTGTATTCAAATTTTGTTGCGTTATAATATCTCTGTTAGCATTACATCTAGTGATATCATTGTTATTCTGTTTTGGTACTTGATTTATATCTTTATCAAATGTTTTGTTCATTAGAATTTCGGAGGACTTTTGTTTTACATTTAGAAGACCATGTGCAACGGACAATGATTTTTCTGTAAGAACAAAATGATATTCGAGATTTATCAGTATATAATAATAGAATAAACTTTCATTAAAAAAGGTATTTATTTGCACCGAATCGCTCTGACTTCAAGTGAAGTGATAATTTGAAGAAAGAAAACATTCCTGAAGAAATAGCCATTATAAACAATTGATCTAGTTCCATATTTTTTTTTAAATTCATATTTCTATAACTAGAGAAATAGGCTAGTTGATACCTATATATTTGTACATCATACCATATATTATTATTTAATGTGGTGTTTCGAGAGATAAGGATCGCGCATAAATCCATTCATAGTTGTAAAAATTATTTGAATATGTACAAACGTTATTCATTGAAGTACAAAATTATCTAGTTGTTAAATTAGATTCTACTAAGTAAGATGAAGAGATAAAAGTAAACGGATCTAAGTTTACAGTCTACACAGTCGAATATAGAGTATATGTTGAATTCTAATTAGGAACGAATGAAACGAAATGGAAATTAGCAACTTCTGCAGCGTATTATACCTTCATATGAATAGATTCACAAAAGGTAACTTTAAATTGTTAAGTAACTTTTTACTCCATAAATTATTAATAACTTGACAGTTACACGTACATCGTGTTTTACCTTATCTATAGCCAAAAATACTATTCATGACAAATGAAACAAACAGAACAACTGATAAATCCACATATATTTACTTCTATTTTTAAATTATTCGGTATTAAAATGTCTAATCAGAAATGATAGGTCATTTAAAGTAACTAAATTAGAAAGTTACTTTTAAACAAATTTACTGATACAGATTAATTATTCTCTGGATTTTATCATAATGTTTCAGCATTAACTATATGTTATATTTTACTTCTGGATGAGTTAATGTAACATATTACTATCTAATGAGATGTAAGATTGTAAATAATTTATTATCATTCAAAGTTCCTACAACACCTGTATATGATACTTTCATCTTCTTATGTAATAACTAAAACAGATTTATCAAAAATTACTGATATGACTTCAAGTAGGTTTTATACATATCATGAAATTTTATTAAGTTTGATGGTGTAAGCGCCTAGTATTGAAGGTATTAAGTAACTCAACATATATATTATTTATGTCAAAAGCTTGACTGTAATATAGCAATGAAGTTAATATTAACAATGAGATTTGCTCAAATTACTGACTTTCTGTAAACTGAAGATTTTAGAATATCCTATTTTCTCGCTTTTCACAAATCAATAACATACTTTTCAAAGAACTCAAATACGGTTTCATTTAAGACCATGGCATGGTACTCACACAACTACGGTTAGTACATATCTAATTCAAAAAATTTAGTCCGCAATTGGTCATTTCTGTCCGCGTTTTTCTTATCTTAGTTTTTGAAATTGAACGCGCAAACGTTCTTTGAAAATAATGGATTTCATAAAAGTGCCAAGTTTCACTTATTGAGATACATTAAAACAGAAGACAGAATTTGACTTCAAACGCAAATAGTACTATAAATATTTGGGACAACTAAGGATTTAGTCACATCATATTATATATTGGATGGGTTTCAGTCTGAACTATGTGGTTAGATGTTTAGGTCTCTGACAACTGACCACATTGTCATATCTTAAAATACGTCACAGAATTCAAGATCTTTATGCATATTACGTCGTTTTTTGTACGAATAATCTAGATAATCCAGCTCGATGTATAAGTGTTCAGTGAATTTGTGATTTACTGTACTATTGGTCGTAGTGTTACTATTAGTAGTAGTAGTGTACCTGGGCTCCCAATGGTGCACATGGGCTCCAGTATCCTGAGGGAACAAATGACATATGAACCAATCTTCGGTCACCGCCTACCATGGGACTGCATCTCCTCACGATGCTCCACTCCCTTGTGGGTCAGAACTTTAGGTCAAAGGCTCGGGGTGTGGCCCCCTAAGAAAACCACCTGCTTCGGTCTGGGCACCCAGGAAGTATCATAGCCCACACACAAATAAAATGAAAATGACGATATTAACGGAGAATTCTATTCACGCTTCGATTAACAGTCAAACTATTCACATTATTATTATAATTATAATAACAATAATTATTATTATTATTTACCACGTCACTTATTCACTCTCTTTTTGTTATATCCCGATAAGAATAATGAATGGTAATTTTTGGGATCCATTTATGGACCAATACTATGAGTAAATTTTTATCGTATAATTGTCATGTGACTAAACTGTTCATATTCATGTCATATGAGTTTTATTTTAACCTATGAACTATTATTATACGACTTACCATTCTTGAGTTACGGCCTGTTTATTAATTACTATCTCTCTCATTCACAGCCACATTTGACTAATTCTTGTACAAATGTTGTTTCATATTTTATGGTACGATGTGGTCTGTCTGGTTGATACATAAACCCAGTATGCTTGAAATAAAGGCTTCATATTGCAGAGGCTGAGATTGGTGTTCTGGACTTAACTGGCTGGGGTAGGCAGAAAGCGAGACCAATAAGGACTCTAGACTGTTCGTACGCGTTTTATGCGTCCCTGGTCTGATCGACAATTCATTGCTCTCTAATTGGCGGTATCGTAAGTTATACAAAAAAACAGGGCACACAGATTCACAAGTTATAACACTTCTATTTCCACTTTGTGTATCCTTATTTTTCGACTTATACAGCAGCTCGCCTATAGTGGAAACTCGGTTCTGTCTAAACGTTCTCGAGTCACTGCCTGGTTGAAAATTGTATGCTACCAACAAATACGAATACTGAAGCAGTTTTTCTGAAACCACGTGCACCATTCAAACTGGCTGCCTTCAACGTTCGCACACTTATGCAGGTCGGACAACAGATAGGGCTGGCTATGTCTTTGGAAAGTCTTAATATCGATGTTTGCTGTCTATCCGAGACCCGTATTCAAGACTCTGGCGAAGTACTACAAATTCGATCTCCATCTGTCGCTTCGAAAAGCTTGTTTTACGTGCGCTTATCCGGGGACCCTGTGGCATCTTCGTCTGGTCTTGCTGGCGTTGGTGTCGCACTAAGCGCTAGAGCTGAGGCAGCACTAGTCGATTGGATCCCCATTAACAGTCGGTTATGTGCTGTTAGATTAGAAAGTTCCATCAAAGTGAGAAGAAATCGGCGTGAGAAACGATGTCTTTTCGTCATCTCCGCCTATGCCCCGACAGATTGCAGCCCGGATGCAATCAAGGATGAGTTTTACCACCAGTTAACTGTTCTTCTCCAGAAAGTGCGTTCGACAGATATTGTAGTACTAGCCGGAGACTTGAATGCTCAGGTCGGGCGTCTAGGCACAGAAGAGAGTCGTTTAGGTGGCCGATGGGGACTCGTTGGTCGCAGGTCAGATAACGGGGACCGTCTACTGCAACTTTGCACAGACCACAACCTGTTTCTGGCTAGCACTAACTTTCGGCACAGTCATCGCCGATGTGCCACCTGGCGTCCTCCCTCTGCATCTCAAGCCTGGACTCAGATTGATCACATCGCGATCAGCTACCGCTGGCGTGGTTGTGTACAAGACTGCCGCTCCTTTTGGAGTACCTATCTGGACTCTGACCATGCCTTGGTCTGCGCCAATCTTACCTTACTTTTCAGTGGACAACGAAGTGACCGCCATCAACGGATTGATGTTAGCAAGCTGGTTGCAACTTCTGTTGCAAGTAAGTATCGAACCGAGCTAGCCTCTAGGCTAGCTACCACTCCACCGAAAAGTATAGATGAGCATTGGTTGCAATTGCATGACGCCATGAAAATGGCGGGAACAGTCAGTTGTGGGTTTGCGAAACGTCCCGCTTTTAAGCACTGGGTTTCTTCTGGTTCCTTACAACTCATTGAAGCCCGTCGGTCTACTCCGGGTGACCGTGAGTTTGACCATAAACGAAGGATGTTACGTAAGGAAATTGGGCAAAGCTTGCGTAAGGACCGAGAAGCCTGGTGGTCGATGCGTGCTAATGAGCTGGAAGCAGCAGCTGCATCTGGTAACTACCGGAAGCTCTTCCAACTCATCCGAGCCACTGGCAGCAAGAAGTCTGGTGTGAGTGAAACAATCTGCGAGGATGATGGGATGCCAATCACTAACATCCATCGACGTCTTGGACGATGGGCAGAATTTTTCGAAGGGCAGTTCAACTGGCCTGCTGCTCCGGCAACATCGGTCAGACTGTCCTGCCCTCCATGGCCGGTGACGACTGATCCACCAAATGAGGAGGAAGTCCGCAAGGAACTCCAACTCTTGAAGCGTTACAAATCACCTGGCCCAGATGACTTACCTCCGGCTCTTTTTAAAGATGGTGGTGACTTTTTGACTAAGGAATTGACGACGTTGTTTACAAAGGTTTGGGAACTAGAGAGTGTACCAACGTCATGGAATGAGTCGATAGTTGTCCCTATCTTTAAAAAGGGTTCACGTCGTTCCTGTAACAACTATCGGGGGATAAGTCTACTTCCGATTGCGTCCAAGCTATTGGCTTCCGTCACACTTCGTAGGTTGTTCAAAACCCGAGAAAGATTGACTCGCGAGGAGCAGGCTGGGTTTCGTTCTGGTCGAGGATGTATTGATCATATCTTCACCCTCCGCCAAATGTTAGAACACCGCCATACTTTTCAAAGGCCAACAATCGTAGTGTTTCTTGACATCAGGGCTGCCTTCGATTCGTTGGACAGGACTGTTCTCTGGGATTGTCTATTGAAGAAGGGTGTGCCTGAGAAGTTTATTAACATCCTAAAAGCCCTATATAAAACACCTCAGGCAGAGTGAGGGCATACAACCACCTCTCTCCATTGTTCCATTCGAGCAGTGGGGTTAGGCAGGGTTGCCCAATCTCACCATTCCTCTTCAACTTTGCCATCGATGACATTCTGGAAACAGCTCTGATGAATGTAAGTAATGGTGGTGTGGATCTGTTGCCTGGAGAAAGACTTCTCGACCTTGAGTATGCGGACGATATTGTCTTACTGTGCGATAATGCCCAAGGCATGCAATCCGCACTTAATCAGTTGGCAATCAGTGTCCGTAGGTATGGTATGTGCTTTGCACCTTCGAAGTGCAAAGTACTTCTACAAGACTGGCAGGATTCTAATCCTGTACTCACCCTGGATGGTGAGCAGATAGACGTAGTGAAGAAGTTCGTGTATCTGGGTAGCTGCATAAGTGCTGGTGGGGGTGTGAGTGATGAGATCAATGCACGAATAGTGAAAGCCAGAGCGGCTTATGCCAATCTGGGCCACCTTTGGCGCCTTCGTGATGTTAGTCTGGCTGTAAAAGGTCGGATCTACAACGCGTCGGTGAGAGCAGTTTTGCTCTATGCTTGTGAAACCTGGCCTCTCCGAGTTGAGGACGTTAGACGACTCTCTGTGTTCGATCATCGCTGTCTCCGAAGGATTGCTGACATTCAGTGGCAACACCATGTCAGTAATGCAGAGGTTCGGCATCGTGTGTTCGGGCACAGAGATGATAATCAATTGGTGTCACCATCTTGAAACACCGACTTCGGTGGCTTGGACATGTTCTCCGAATGTCGTCCCAGAGAATTCCACGTCGTGCATTATTTGCCGACTCTGGGACTGGTTGGAAGAAGCGGAGAGGTGGTCAGTGCATGACATGGTGTCGTGGCATGAAAGAAAGCTGCAAAGGACTGGCTTGTGTTGGTCCTTCACGACTCCCTGGTTGGGGTCCGAGAGATGGTGCTACACAGTGGCTAGAGACGTTATCAGATGTGGCTCAGAATAGAAGCCATTGGGGATCGTGCTGTAATCTTCTTTTACTTTCTTCATAGAAAGTAGTTGCTTCTTCCTTAACTGAAAGATCTCTTCTGATTGCTCGTTTCTGTTTCCCCAATTATTATTATTATCACACTACCCTACACTAATCTGTTCGTTATTGTTCTTTTTTTACGCTTCTAACCTTTGTTTCCTTCTTCTCTTCAAATTATCATCGTTTTGTGTGGTGCATATATATTTGGTGCCCCCTTGTACCAATATTTATGTGTTCAAATGATAAATGATAATCTTACAAACTCTTGACTGTTTCCTGATTATATATTACTACTAAATGTAGTTTATTTTCTGTTTACCTATTATGTCATGTAAATCATTATTCAAATATAATTTTACTCACCAAACTTGTATAAAAATATTTTAACCATTTTGAGTGGTATTTATTACACTGAACATACAATAGTAACTATAGAACATAATATACATGAGCTAGCGAGTTTAGATGGCCAATAATTTGTCCAAAAGACATAATAGTTGTATCATTACTAGTAAATGCTAGGGTCATCCCATTGTTGAAATCCGGGACTACATTTTAAGTAGTCCTTCTCAAATATGTGCATCTTCCGCTGATTGCCTTAGTGTAGCCAATTCATCACAAGATGTTTAGAATAGTTGGGTTGTGCAATATATTATAATCATAAAATGAGTTCATTATGCCTAATTCATCGTATATACACTACAATTTGACGTTAAACGTTTTCGTTACTAATGCGTATGATAAACACGAGTTGTCAATAAAGTGTCAATAAATCGCATCAATTCTAACATCAATAAATTTGTACATATCTTGTTTATTCATTCATGAATAAGTACATGAACTTAATAAAATTATATTCGAAATCAACCTAAAGGATTCAACTACTTACTTTCGGCTGAAATTTCCGTTTGAATCCCAGGTAAGTGATTATTTTTCATGGCATCCGAAATATGATCCATTTTTTGCAGTTTAGTTTCTATCTCTATGTTGTCTTCTTGATCATTAATAATATGATTTTCATGGATTTTGGATTTATCGGTGATTAATATTGGTGTGCTAATGTCAACTACTGATTGTCCATTCCCAATGAATCCCTTATTACTGCAGTGATTAGTATTATCATTTGTTTTTACATTATGATTTGACTGTAATAACTGATGAGATTGTTTACCAAATGTGATATTGCTGAAGTTTCTTTGTGTTTTATTAATTACACTACTCGTGTTACCATCTTTATTTTTAGTAATACTAGATGCATTATTATTAGTAACCGATGTGTTGTTTTCGGTTGTTGATCTAATTTAAATTGTTGTGCAATGAATGACTGATTCGTTAATTTAGAAGAATGTTGTATTAGTTCCCCTGTATGTGGTCCAATCTTATTGATCTGTGCATTATTATCATCAATAGCAGTAGTATGTGTATTCATAGTTAATTTCGTTGAATTATTATTTAGATTTTGGACTTTATCTTTTTGACAATTAGTTAATGTCAAAAGATTCTTCTCTTGAGTTTTAATTTCTAGTGCAGTTCTATCAGCCACCTGGTGAATCGAAGGAAAAAAAGCGAAAAGATAAAATACACCACGATATTTTTATTCTATAACTACAGAAAATACAGAGTAAGTAAATAAAATAGATGTATTGTTTATAAGTTATTTGTAGACGTCAATGTAATGTACTGCTAAATCAGTAGTTCCAGATTTATCAACCTTGATAAATTTTAATAACCACCTAATCACTATGACATTAATTATTTTCATTAAGTGAGTACAACGGTTTGGCTACCACCTAGGCTATGTTGATAATTAATTAGAATAAAAACAGATAAACAATTGACGTATATTTGCGCTAACTTCATGAATCATTATTATGTGTAACATAGTTTTGTTGTAGAAAGAAAAATGTGTTAATATCAAATGTTATTACTCTCAAATGTCAGTTACATTAACTACATTACGAAAAGATGGGTGTTTTTAATCATGGAGGCCTGTAGCAATGTGTATTCAGGGATATTTAAACTGACTTCCACTAACGGAGGTTTACATGTTGAACGCCATCTTTAGACTTAATTTATCTATTCAGAAGCATGGATGAAATATATTTTGTAAATTTCCAGGATGTTATTTGACTAGATAAACGAGGTTTCTTTTGTAAATTGTTTCCAGTGAAAATATTAAGATCTTTCATTGAAACGTATTTTAGTGGAGCAAACGCTGGTTCACTGAATAACTTCAGTATTATTGTGATTCATCTATTTTACATTCAGTTAGCCATCGTAAACATAATCACCCAATTTTATAAAGTCTAACAACTGTACATTATCTTGACAAATATTGCAAATTATTATTTTCTTTAAAAACGTCGAAGCGTCATATCTATCTCTTACAAACAGATAAGTGATTTAATTTAATTGGTGTCAATAGCATGAATAACAAACATTGTGAGATGAAGTGAATTCACTTAATTTTGTGTGTTCTGGATCCTCGACATAAACAGAGGGAAGTGATTCACCAACTTAACCTAGCCAATGTGTCCAAAAAGGGTATTTTGTTTAACTGAGCAATAACTTAATGATGTAACTTTTATAATTTTGCATCTTTTCGGGCAGATATTTCTATCTAAAACCTTCACAAACATTCTTCTACCTATCACTTTAGATTTGAGTATTTAAATGCCTTCCTCATTCATCATAGTTACGTTTTCATGCCTGTATTATAGTTTTTAAAACAGGTAGCTTAGCTATTTTTGTTAATACTCAGAAATCTATTAAGTTAGTACCAATTAGTCTTTTAAATATCTGTCTTTTATAATTTTATTTATTATTGTCTCATTAAAATTATTATCATCGTCAAAAACACTTCACTACTATTTACACAACTTATCTATTTTATCATTTTGACTCTCCGACTAATATTTTGGACAGGGTCCTTGTGACTGATTGTGTCATAACCTGCCTCTGACTTATTACATCCACATACTATGAACCAAACTTGGATTATTGTGAAAATCACATGTCAACACTATATATTTGACATCAAATTAGATTTATTACGTACAAAGTTTATTTAGTTAGTGAGAGATTTTAAGGCACACATAATTAATTATATTCACTTAATTGAGTGATTACACTAGTTGGTTAATCGTCTTTTCAGGGAGTATTCATAATTGTACATTGCTAGTTAAATCGAAATATTTGACAAGAAAATTTGTTATTCAAATGTAAGTGTCAGCTATGAGAATTTTTGAAGAAATTGCAAATTACGATCAGAGATTAATCCGTACTACTAATAAACACAGGGTGGAAGGTTTTATGTTAACGATTCAAGTAGAACACAGTATCAATTAATCACTAGCCTAGTATCCAATGGTTTATATATTCAACTTCAGTTGATTTTGTTATATCCTGCCCAAAGTCCTGAGTGAACAGTATTAAAGTCTCCATAACTAGGAGGACAGATTTGTTCAATATGTGTCATAGGAAATAATGGTTCATTAGCTAACATCATTTTATGATGACACTTTCAAATTATGTGACTATCTTCACACAACCTTATCATTATATTAACTGTTGAGCAACTCACTTAAAAAAAAATACTTCATTCTGACATATAAATAAACCTTAGTCTATTAAAATTCATATCAATACAAACGAATTTTAAATAAATAACTTGACTTAAAGCTATTTACAATTCCATAGATCACAGTCAATTAGAGTAGAATTAGAAAATTAAAAGCACACTTAACTTCTCATTATTTACTTAACCAAAATCATTGAAAACCAAGTGAGAGTTGTTCCCATTTATATTAACTAATTAATTCAGAGTGAACGCCTTGGAAAAAGAAAACCATATCTTCCAGTCGAGTGAAAAAACGGTTAGCCATATACACAAAGATTTTTTAAAAATAATCTATGAATTACTTGAACCAACATTTACAACCAAGGTCATCACATAATTCTTAATCAACTCAGATAAAACTTAATTAGTTTGCTATTTTTTATAAATAAGAAAACACTTAATTAGCAATACATTATTTGTTTCCAGTTAATTACTTTATCAACATAGTGATTTTCTGGTAATTTATTTTCTTTCATAGCCAATTCATGACGACGATTTTCAGTTCGTTGAAGAACTCTTTCACCAATCTGTAAACAGTTATGATATCTTGATAATAGTTTACTTAAACTATCCGATTTTTTCAACTGATGATTTCTATGTTGTTGTTGAAATAGTGAAGTTGACAATAAAAAAGGAGAATGAAAGGGATACACTGGAATTTGATATGATTTCTGTTGATCTTTTGAAAGATTCTGTTGATAAACTGAATAATAGAACGGTGAAAATGATGTGACTGAATTCACATGAAGTAACGTATTATTCATATCGTTATTAATATCATCCGGTTTTAATACTTGAGGTTTTATTAATTTTTTTGAATTGAAAGTGTTGTCATGTAATTTTATACTGGATTTATTACTTAATGATAATTCTTCATAGAATTTTTCTGGATGAAAGAAATTATTCTCCTCTACATTTGAAGGATGGGAATAATCTACTTTAAAACTGAAAAGAAAAGAAACATAAAAGAAATATTTTAAGAAAGAAAATAAGATCAATTTAAAACTACACTCCCATCAGATTCAGATGTCACATTCGCTTAATAAATTGATTTATTCAGATTTATTCGATATCAAACATATTAATTCTTATTTTTCGAAACTGATCATCTGCAAAATTCAATGATGTGATGCTATAATTTCAACTTGAAAAACGGTATAATTTCTAGAAACAACTATGGAAATAATCCTGTCTCATTTTAATGTATCAATTTAATTCCGATAATGCAATGAGAAGACAAAGGTTGTCAGGATTATGTGATATATTTGCGAAATACATTTCGAAAAATCTGATCCTATATATACTTGTTAAGACATTTTATATCAAAAATAAAAGGTCAACTAGACAAATTAAAAAGTAAGTAGAAACAAAGTTAATAATAACGTACATAAAACAATGTGAAAAGCATGATCGATAATAAATCAGTGTTACCAGGATAGGTTGGGGATGAGAATAAATCGTTTTTGAACATCTAAACGTTTTACTTTCCGTACAGCCAAGGCTTCAATAAACTTTAGTATACGCCCTTAAAGGCTTTTGTACAAAAGTGCAAAGGCTGACCTGATATCGACATTATGACCGGTCTCAATCAACTGTTTCGCAATGGAGGAAAATGTTTGTCTATCCTGTGGCCTTATTTAATCATTATATGTCCAGCCACACTTACTTTCAGATCACGATTGTTCCTTCCTATGTACGTGTTTCCGCACATACATGTAAATTGATAGACACAATTGGGATGTGACACAATCACTTACGTGCTATCTTCCCATTGCATTATCGACATTTATCAAGAGGACCAGTTACTAATTTGATTTCTTTTCAGAATTTTAAAAATTGAACTTTTAAAATCGCACGTTTTAACTATTTAGGGGCTTTATAAGATCAATTTTAAGTCATACAGAAATTTATAAGTAGCATAAGAGTCATTACTAAAGGCTGAAATTTCAGCTTTCCACGATCATTAACTCACATTTGAGAACTAAATAATAAATTATAGTATACAAATGATGTACTACAAAGTAAGAAATTTACAAAATCTCATAGCATACTTTGAGTAATTGTGATTTGGTTTCACATAATCAGGATGTTGTTGAGAGGAATTGATTTGTTTTAGCATTTTTGAATGAGTTTCTATAGTTGATAATTTATTTGATTTATCTTTAATAAAATTAATAGAATTATTTGTGGATGAAACAGATTGTTCTCCATGAATTTGCTCTTCATCAATTTTGGGTAAAATGTTATTATTAATTGTTAACTCATCAAATCCACTATCTTTTTTCTCATTTTCTATAAGTGATTCATTCGACGAATATTTCATATTGGAAATGATATTGTTTGTTTTCAGTGATAATTTTTGCTTTGATTTTTGGATCTCAAATAAATGCTTGTTTGCATCAAACTGTTGACTGGATTTCGTTCCCAAACCTCGACTTCGTAAACGACGCTCCCATTGGTAAACTACACTGGATGGATCAGGATGTTCTGGCCAAAATTCCGATAAAATAGCCTATAAAAATATAAAAATACTTCTAGTAAGGTGTGAATTTTTCCCACTTCTACAATAATTACGCTTTCTGTAAATCCGACATTTCTGTTTTACAGTTTATAAATAAAAGACAAAAACGTTTACAAACAACTAACAAGTTTCAGAAAACAATGAACTGACCGTAAGAATAGTTTCTTTTTACTAACGTATCATAGCAGCTTTCAAATAATATCCATAATCCATAATTATTAACATAATAAATATCAAGCACATGTAGGGGGAATAGAGAATTGAAATACGGCAACCAGATAGTGAAAATTCTACTGTTATTTTACAGAGGATACGTTCATATTGCTCATAAATAACAGCCATTAAAATAAAAAAAAATTTGAATTTTACTAGCCTACGTTATAAACTAAGTGACAGTATCATATTTCCAGATTTAAGGATGGTGAGTAGATCAAATATAATGTGAAAACAAGGTTTGTGCAATGAAACATCAATTGAACAAGGTTTACTTTTAAACGTTCGTGCAGATCAAATACCAGACCATTTTAGAAAAGCTTTGTTCATTTGATCTATTGATATCGATGAAGATAGAGCAAACCTGCTTATCAAGGTCGGATAACTAAAACGATTGATAACTAAGCGAGAACCAGGCATGAGCAAATCTTCAAGTAACAACAGTCTCTGCCATACCACTTTTTTTAAAAATTGGAATACTGAGGTCATGTCGTTTGCGGGATTTAAACTGAACGGGCGAGAAGTCCTCTTTTTACTAAAACTAAATGACTATCGTCAACATTTTTTGGTTTCCAACGTTCAGAGAAACAATCAAGCTATATGCGTTCTATCCTATATAACTCCCAGTCTTCGTGCTGCCGATGGAGAGTTAAAACGAGTGCTGAATTAGGCAAAACTGTTGCTAGATTTTTGAACGAATCGCCAGCTAAATGATGTGTAAAAGGTAAGTTGAAAAATCCCAACTCAATATTTAGAAAGAAGTGTTCTCTGTCTTCCTTTTGTTCTTAGCAGAGTCAGGGATAAAGCTTCTGAAGTGTTCCAAAGCAATGAGGATTCGTTGCCAATCACTATTTTATTCTCTATAGTTACCTAGCTGGAGTCGATCTTTGATCTTAACTATCTTTTGAATATCTTTCATTCCATATATTTATTAACAGCCTGCTTAAACTTACTCAAACAGACCCTATGAAAATATAGATTAGCTTATTTTTTTCAACTCTAAATTATTTCTTAGATTATTCATCAATATTTTCATAGATAATTCTGCTTAAAATGTATGTTAAGTTACCAATCATCATTATATTAGTTATTATATCATTGTTGACTGTACAGTCATGACTAAACCTTGACTGAAACAGAATTTATCTTTAATGAGGAAGAATGTATTTGTAAAATCTCAGCGAATGAATTCGTAGTAAATCCAACGTTTCGCCTGGCAATCTGGTTTAAGCTTTTTCAAGAGCCAGATTGCCAGGCGAAACGTTGGATTTACTATGAATTCATTCGCTGAGATTTTACAAATACATTCTTTCTCAATAATGTCTCACATCAACTCAGCGCTAAAATACTGTGAAACCATTCGTTCAAATTTAGACGTAAGTTCTTGTAGAATTTGTCTTTAATTATTTTTAATTCCAAATATGAATGTTAACATCACAAACATGTGCGCATCATTACCAACGTTCGAATTGATAATTTAAAATAAATTAAATATAGGGTAGATTGTTAATAATAAATACCAGTAAATTTGTAACTAAATTTTTCTACTGGTTGTCATAGTACAAACATATTACTTTTATTATTGATCAACATGTATTAAACAAAATGATTAGTTCAATTTAAACACAAATTTGAAATAAGTAATGTTGGGTTTAATTGTTTTCATTATCAGAGTCTTGTATCAATAAATCTATTCAATGAAAACATATAATCAACTTAATGATTTTAGTATCATTTAAAATCCTTTCAAAACTCTCTAATAAATCAAAGTTAGTGAACATTAACATTATCATCATTTCGTGAATACGAGATTAAAATAAACGAAATATTATTTTTCATAAATGAAGTTTTAAGTAAATAGTAAACAGTGTTATATTCGTCTAGTCCTCGTGTAAGTCTAATTGTTATTTATCCTTCTATCAGGAAACTTTACTGAGTTATAACTATGAGAAAACGTTTTTTATCAATGCGCATGTCTCTAATGTTCTACATTGTTTATGACCGGTTGCATATGTAAACAAACAATCAGTACCTGAGTTTATGGTAGTTGATATATTCATTCTACCTTTGGTGTTAACAGTGAGTACGATTTTATTATTTAAAAATATTGTATAAAAGTTCACAATCAAAAAATTAGTTTTCATCTACACTAAGTTGACATGTCAAGCAGAATTACTTTATCTTCATCTAGGAAATATATACTTCGTTAGATAGTTTACTGAATTAATATATCGTCTAGTTGTACAAATAACCTACTTATATGTTAATTTCAGGTTTTAATAATGAAATCTGTTAAGCACATTTTGTAAAAAACATTTATCACGGGTAGTTTTTCTGATCTTTATGCATAGATTCCTATAATTTAATTACGTATTTCAATAAAGAATGTCTTACTCTTGTTTCTAATCTATCTTTCAGTGACTGTGTTGTCTCACTTTATTTTTATAAAATCACATGTATATATACATTCAAGTCATATGAAATAATTGATTTAATACTGATCTTGCCATGTACGTTTACATGTTATTTCATATGGTTCATACTAAACATTGAAATCAGATAACAGGCCAATAATAACAGAGTAACTAGCTATTTTAATTAATTTAAAACGTCTTGCCAGTTACCATAATCGACCTTCAGAGATTCATATTCATAAACAAGTGTACTTTGGAGTAAAATATCAGTGGTTGATATTGCGTAACATTTGACAACGTACAGAAGGTAAGGTTACAGTCGCTTCACTTATCAAAATCTCCAATCTGTTTTTCAAAATTATCACCTTATGTTCCAATTTATCGGGATCAAACAGATTGGGGATTCACACTGATTAGAAGATTAAAGCTAAGATAAAAATAAATCCTTAACTAAATAGTTTTTCGATTTTTATTAAATAATCCCTTTTACTGACTCAGTTGTTTTAAGCCTGTGTTAGATCAGTATAATGAATAATTTTATTGACATCTAAAATACTTTTAGACTTTGTTTTATAGCTTCTTTATCTTAGAATTGAACACACATATTGTTTAATAGTGTGTTTAAGTTTATGAACGTTAATTATGACCTATCTATTATTTTATTCATTATCTATAAATGTGCATTATTACTGAAAAATCCGGAAAAGTCTACATACACTTTTTTGTTTTACATTTTATAAAAATATTTTAAAAATAAGTATCATCCAAGAAGGTATTCGGTAGCTTGAGAATTTAAAACCTATAAGCAATTATAAAATGTGTTTATACCTAAGTATAATACACACTGGGTTTAGAGTTTAAAATGTGAAATATCTAATTATAAAACAGAACTCTTGATTTCTTTTGTTCTTGTTAGTTTCAAGTAAAAGCGGGAATGAAGAAAGATAAAACGTAAACCCTTACCTTTAAACAAGAACTTGATACCTGTCACTTTTGAAAGCTATTGCTCACTTTTTATAATAATCAAACTCATACATATAATTCCTGTTGGTGAAGTGTTTACTAAAACGTCACTTTCTGTACTGATTTCTTAGGTCTAATATAAACTAGTTAAATGAAAAAAATGAGTAGTCACTAAGTTTTATTTACTTTTTCGATAGACATAGAGCAATGCATGATTGAAGTTGATCAAAATGACTCTATTGATAAGCATTCAAAGAAGTCAATATTTTTCTACCATTATATATCGTGAGACTGTTTCTATCGTGACTGTTTGATTGTTACCATTATGTAATTTATGAATACATGATTTCGTAGTGTAAATGTAAGTAAAATCATAATTTCATTTTACAATTAATTCCATTATTCTTTTTTTAACATAAAAGTCATTCGTAATCTATAACCATGAGTTAATCATTAGCTCATTGTGTAATTTACCTATAGATAAATATTTAGTTCGTTAATGCTAATGATTTACAATATATATTACCAATAAATTGTTGAAACAATCCAGTCGATACTGGTGAATAACTCATTTACTAGTTTCTAATAAAACTAACATTTCAATATATGGAATTAATTACTGTCATGTTAGATATCACCAGAGTAGTAACTGTTAAGTTTGTTTTCATACATACTGATCATCTTGATTGTAATTGGTAGTTCTATCAGGACTGTATCAGGACTCAACATAGTGTTTGGATCTAAAGTTGTTACATCACGTACTTATACCTGATATTATCCTAAAATAAGTTTGTTTACTTTTTACTTTTATACTGAAAACATTGACTGAAATCAGTGACAACAACACTTCTTTTTGAATAAAATTTTGTGGTCTAGATAAAGTAACATTGTGAGACTATAATTTATGGACGACCTTTGAACCAGTCCTAAGTGACCTTGAGAAATATTGGCCAATCAGAAAACAGCTGGTGTCTGGCAAAAATACATTATATAAAACCAAAGAATTAAAGTGGACATATTTCATTTACATGATTCAAAAACTTGTCAAGGTTAGGAAGAGGTTCAGAGGTTTTAAAATCGTAATTCATGTAGTAGAGGAAATCATCCATACGGCTACAGAATAGTCGGCCTCTGGAGCCATGATAAAGTCTCAAAAACTCTTTCAGTCTCGACCATATAGCCTCAATATTGTTTGTGTGCATTCCGGTTGTTGGATCCACAAAATGCCACTTATGGATAGCGACAAAATGCACATAGCCAAGTAAATATAAGCGTCTGTAGATTCTCTAGTCATCTGTATATATTGTAGCACCCGGCTGTCGCCAGTGATACTAGTGCTTTTTTTATCCAGTCATAGTTTGTCATAGTCTCAATCTGGATCGGGCGAAAAATCCTATTCTA